TGGCTGCGTTCACTTTAAGAACGGATCCCTGTCTCATTTGTACTGTCTGTCTGTCACACGCGTTTAATGCTTATTTAAGACATTAGACTGTCTTTACGAGGTTACTCACCAATACCAGAGTTTTGACATAATGTTGCGTGTTTTTAACTGTTAAAGCGATATAATCCAGGGATAAAACGTTTGTTTCAGGCGAGCTGTTTGAGGCGGATTGGCTTTACTGTATGTGCACGCAGTGAAAGACATCTCTGAGAGTGCGCGAGCACGGGATGGTTTAATATTGCTTGAATGTTTAAACTAAAACTTAAAAAGACGTGAAAATTATAAACGTTAGTTACCATCATAGGTTACGATGCAATGCTGGCCCGATTGTGCAAGTGAATATTTCGTCGTGTCCCGACTCCTAAACGCGAGTGTGTATCGACAGCTGCAGCGCTTAGTGTAGGGCTGCAGCTATCAATTCTTTTTGTAATCGATTAATCTAGCACTTAATCGATCGATTAATCGAGTAATCGGATAATTTGTTTATGTGTGTTTTTAAGCAACCAAAACAAATAATGTATTACGAAAATGATAAGGTGTTTGGCTTTTATTTATTTAAAAGAAAATAGAGGTATTTATTCCAACTGCAACATTTGGCTCCACAACTAATTATTGCAATTTTTACCCGTGTTTATAAGTGCCAGTGCCAACAATTATATAACAATACAGTTAAAACAATTTACTGTAAAACCTGTTACATGTAGCCCATAACATGTAAAACTTTGAATACAAACTTAAATAGTAAAGCCCATTTGGCCTTAGTTTTGTCTTCTTAATACAACATTACAAAAAAAGGATTGCACCTTCTGCAAATTACCCACCTGGAAACAAAAATATATTAATATAAAATATCAACCCAAACAGGTACACAAATGTGTACAATTTATAAAAAATAAATAAATGGAAATAAAACAATTATAAATAAGAATCAGACTTTTTCAACTGTAATCTCAAGACAAACATCAGAGTGTGTGTGTGTGTGTGTCTCACAATATTTGTTCCTCCATCACGTCCCGGTGAATGTATGCTGAAATTTTTGTTGCGTGGCTACATAAAAGTTTAAGCATATGATGAATTGCCGCAATTGGTCTGACTGGCGCGTGAGAGAGACATGGGTGCACGCGCTCGCTTACCTCTCTGCCGTCGTGCGCGAGCCGCGGTTAGGAGCTCAACATCTCGCATGCGCGCTCGCACTAGATTACAGGATATTTTAACTTGCGAATTAATATGCGGCGGTAAAACTAGTCGATCACGAGTGGCTCAACAGGTAGATCTATAGACGAACTCATCTTTCAGGCATTTGACCGAAGGGATATACACGCAGCGTGAAAAATCGAATTGCGCGAGTCTCACGCTGAATGCGTGAGAGTTGGCAGCCCTGCCAGGTATACTTTGCAGACACATTGCATCTTGTTCTCTCCCTTTATAAACATATAATGATCCCAAACTTTAGACATTCTCTGCAATTTATGAAGTCATATGTATCATGCGCTGTGGTGTGCTTCCTGAATAACGGTCCGTGTGAAACAATCAGATCCCTGCGTGCGCCATAGGAACTGCGTCATTTAACGAGGCTTCGAGGCAGATTTTTTGCCTCAAGGAATTTTTGTAATCGAGTAACTCGAGTAACTCGAGGAATCGTTTCAACCCTAGCTTAGTGCTTGCCTAGTGCAGTGAGACGAGAAGACGCCGCACCGCGTCCGCGAGCCCTTTATATGGAAAAAATCGATTCGAGGCCGTTGAGAATCGATTTTGAATCGGCCACATTTTAAAAAACGATTAATCGAAAAATCAATTTTTTTTGCCCAGCCCTAACACACACACATATATATATATATATATATATATATATATATAAATCACATAAAACATAAAAGCCTGCCGGAAAAGATGGGTCTTAAGGCAAGATTTAAAAACATGAATACTTTCACTGTTTCGCACATCCTGTGGCAGCAGGTTCCATAAATAAGGAGCAGCAAAACTAAAAGCCCGGGACCCCATAGAAGTAGTGCGGGTTCTAGGGAGAACAAGAGTGAGCGAGGAAGACGATCTTAAAGTCCGAGATCGAATATAGATATTAAGAAGGTCCAATAAATATGAAGGGGCAAGGTTATTGAGTGCTTTAAATGTCCGCTTTGGACAGTATTCATGTAAATTATGTCGGTTATGTCTTAAACAGTTGTGAGTGTATCGGATGTGCATCAGTGCAATTGGATCCGCATGTCATTGGAAATAATCCGACGTCTTAAAGTGAAAGTGGCAACAAACATAATGTGGTCTGTGTCCTTAATATTGATCAAGCAACCAAAGAAAAGAGAAAAGCAATCACAGTTTGTTAATAGCTTTAGTATAATAAGGATTAATTATATTTAATTTACACAAAGAATATTTCTGCTTGAAAGAATAAAGAAGGATGTATGCATGGTTATAAAGAATGCATACTGTATATCATCCATTGAAAAGGCTGTGTTGTACTTTAGGAAAAGTGGTTTTTATTTAATTTTAAGATATTTTTTAAATCACAGTAGTTAAATCCGTATCTGTATTGCATGTTCAGACTTTTAAATCATTTATATTAATAGGTTAATAGATGTTTTCTTCGGGAGTGTATGGGTTTGTACATTTTATTCTATTCTAAATTCTAAATTAACGCATTACAATTTAACTAAACCCATTATATTTTAGTCGACTAAAATCCAATGTGATCTCATGAGAATACGTATGCATTTGTACGTAAAGTGTAGTTCTATCATACGTACATATAATTACGTTTTATATGCGCAGAAACGTATAATACTGACGTATTTACAGAACTAAAATGTAAAATATTTACGTTATTGACAGCACAAAAACGTAATTTATTTACATTTGAACAAATCCACCGATGTACACATTTGTACATATCACAATTTATGCATATTAAAATCGTAGCATTATGTTTTGACTCTATTGCATTCAACTGTCTTATTCATTACGTTTTCAGTCTCATTTATTGATATAATACTCATAAATATTAACATTTTGCTCGTTTCGCCTGCATGGTGTTAAACAATACACTATAAAACCTTAAAAATACATTCTTTAACTTTACTCGTTTAACCATTTTGTAATATAGTTTATTTGCCGTGAGGCACAGAAAGTGTTTTCTCCTATAAAACAAAACATAAATTCACAAAAGACATCAATTTTATTAGTTTGATGTAATCCAAATCTTTAGAATCCATAGCCTACGTTGTTTACAAGAAAAAAATCCTAATTCAACCTTTTATCCAGTCGTGATCTTCGCCTCCATTCTCAGCAGCAACCGTACACGTCAAATCCCGCGCTGGTGATGAATTCAAATTCAAAAATCGCGCCCTTGAGAAGCGATACGTCGTGTTTTACGGCAGAGATATCAAATGGTCATTGGCTCTTCCCTGCCTCATCACAGATTGAGACATGAAGGACTGTGACGGTTGGTTTAGTTCTTTTGAAATAGTGCGAAGCTGCGAACTGAAGCCGGATGAACATTTTCATTGATTATTAATTTAAATTCTGCTCTGTACTTCATACAAAACTATTACAATGTTGCCAGAGAGGACTGCGACTGCAAAGCATCTTCATGTGAACGGCTTTTGGTAGCGGTTTTGACATTTTCGCAATAAATATATTATTGTGATTATACTTTTCTGTTAGTCACGTTTTTCTTCATAATTGTAACGTTAGTTTACGTAGTTTTAACGAATTGTTAGGGGTAGGTTTAGGGGTAGGAGTAGGATTGGTGGCTCAAAATATATTTTAATGCCATATTGTTAATACAACTGCCATTTCCCAACACATCTGTCCATTATGTTTTATCCTTTTTTTATATTCTGTATAAAATACACTGTAAAAAAATGTCTTGTCAAATTAACAGTAACTTACTGGCAACAATTATCCAGTACTTGCTGTATTTCATTCAACAATAAAATTACTTTAACACTAACTACAGTACTGTTAAGCATACTGTAAAATCAAATAACATTATTTTACTGTAATTTCTTACCATATTAAAGTACAGTATTACACTGTTAATTTTTAATAATACTGTATAGTATTATACAGTTATGAAATGTTATTGTATTTATTTGGTGCTACTGTGTAACCTGTAGAATATGTAGAAAATCCGTAGAAATAGAGTATTATTTAACAGTTAAAATAATATTTCTATGGATTTTCTACATATTCTACAGGTTGCACAGTAGCACTATAGGAAATAGAAAAAAGAACAATTGAAGCTTTAACTGCTCAAGGTTTATTGTGTATTTTCAAACACATTACATTTACATATATACATTTAAATACATGAATAAAATTAAATACATGAATAATAATAATGTAATATAATACAATTTAAATCATGCATGAAAATCATGAACAATCATGCGTTTCAATTCATGCAAAAATGATTATGAACAGGTAAAATAGAAAAGATTAAAGGGGCGCTATCTGATCAATCTATTAGAAAGGGGGGGGGGCTTAAACTAGATAGTCTATTGGTTTGAGATAGACTGTCTAACTGGTCAGACTGGTCTGTTGCTGATTTTAAAGGGTTTTGGGCTCCTTTATAACTAGAGGACCAGATTTGCAGGGCTGGGAGAAATGTATAACTACACTTTAACAACTACAGACCAGTGTCATTGCTCTCTCGGTTTTCTAAAATCCTTGAAAAGTTGTTTGCTCAAAAATTAATTTTTTTTTTTAGAAAAACACAAATTATTTAATGAAAAACAATATGGCTTTAGAGATAAAAAAGATTAACTGCTTTGGCATTAATTGAACTCATAGGAAAAATTACATCTGCAACTGAGGATAAAGCAATACACAGTGGAGGTCTTCATCAACTTAAGCAAAGCATTTAAAGGGTTAGTTCACCCAAAAATGAAAATTCTGTCAGTATTTACTCACCCTCATGTTGTTCAACCCCGTAAGACATTAATTCATCTTCCGAACACAAATTAAGATATTTTTTATGAAATCTGAGAGCTGGATCACTCCTGCATACTAGTCCATAGGCTTTGGTATGATTTTTTCTTTGGTATGATTGGCTTGATTTTTGTTAACGCAAATACACACAAATGTGGCATTTTCTTTTCATCCATTATCTGTTGGTCACAAAAGTACACAAACACACATTTGAAAACAAAAACAACAACATTTGAAAGACCCACAACTGTCTAGTTTGTAATGTCAAATAATGCTACAATCAAGATGAGGCTCTATAAAAGGAGTAATTAAAACAAAGAATAAGACAAACAATACGAAAACATTAAATACAGACTTACTATTTTAATTTTGCTGTTTGGCTTGATGTGGTCATCATTTATGTATCGTCCGAGATTTTCTGTAGCTTTACTGCCATCAACACTGTATGGTGAAATATTTTAAAAACACTGTATATAAACATACCATAATATGATGTAATTATACTTCATTAGAACATTCATTAATTTAATCTTACCAGTAAGATTGTCCCTGAAAGGAGTAGAAATATAAAAAAAACTGCATCTTCAGCTGAGTAGTCTTTGAGCAGGGTCTCTCCTTCAGATCCAGCCATGTGTCTTCCAACATACTCCAGTAGGAATTCTCCTGGCTCAATATGTTTTGTGGCGATTACTCCAAAACCTAATAAATTGGGTATAAATAAGTGTAAATTAAGTATGAGAAAAGATTCATAAAGTTGTTAAGGTTGTCTAAACTGTTTTAAATGGTAGCCCTGCTTGGAAAACAAATACGATATCTACATCTAAAAGTGCAAAACTACAAAACTCATATGTATCATGACACTGAATATTGATAATTTCCATTGTTAAACAGGCCCCCGGAGTCTAACTGGCAGTTACATACAAATAATATCAAGATCACTCGCACATCTACACAATGGAGTTTAATTTGGACATCAGCAGCTAGCATAAATACAGGCAGGAAAACAGATATAAATCCACCTTTAACTGATTCAATCATGTTTTTTTGTTTCTCTTGTGTTTTTTTTAACAGCCTGTTGTTTTTAGCTACACATTTTAAACCCAACCATTCGACATTATTTAGAGACCAAACTTAGCTTTTAATTAAGTTTTGCAAAGTCATACTGATGGCAGAATTGAATGCCGTAACTTACCTTTCTCTTCACACATTAATTTTTCTCGAATGTGTCTTTATCTTTCCCCGAAGCAATGAAGTACAAGGCTTCCTTTTCAGGAGAAACTCTTTTGGGTCTCATTTTCCTGTGAAATATAAGAACATTTTATGCAGGATATAGTGCATATGCTAAGTAAAAAAAAAAAAAAAATAGAAAATACTCTAAAAAAAAACTCCTTAGAATTGTGTAGACAATAACTTATTGAAAAGATGACAATGTGGCTGATAATTTACTACATTTTTACTATACTTTTTATATCAAGTATTTTTTATAAATCATTTTAAAAAGAAACTGAATATCAATAATACCAATCTGCATGCACATTTACATTGTAAGAGGATGCAAAAACATTGTATAATGTTAGCATTTACAAATCATCATAAAATGAAGTTAGAATGTACAACTTACCTTTTACTTCGGAAAGAAAAAAAGTGAGATGAGAAATGGCTCAGTGCGCTTAGGATCTTGGGATCTTGTAGGTAGATAAATCTTTAAACTATAATAGAAAGATAAACCTCCAATGTAGGAAACAATCTCGTTGAAGTCTTCTAAAGTTGTGCTCTTCCAAATGCCAAACATGAAGTGTGAATTAGGAACCTGGAAATAGAGAGATATACGTTCTGCTATCGGAGCAGTGA